CAATCTCTCTAAGTCTCACTGAAGGTAAAGTAAGAGAGAGAGAGAGAGATAGAGAAGCTTTGACATAATATAAAGAGAATGTCATTATTTTCACTGTCAGTTTTCTTGTGTTGAGAATTTTGTGAGTTTTCTTGGAGCTGTTTTTGTTTTTGTTTTTATGATGAGTAATTTAAATAACTCATTGTGGGTTCTGGTGAGACATTAAATTATTTTCTCTTGAGTCGTGGGTCAGAGGGAATTGGACAACTCGTAATTAGACCGGTCGGACTTAAAATGACCTAAACGAGAGGAAAAATTGTTTGGGAAGGGAAAGTCCTAGAACAAGACCCTTCCCATTCGGACCTTCTCGCCTTCTTAATGACACTCTGGTATTGGTCTGCTACACACACACACACACACACACACACACACACACACACACACACACACACACACACACTCGCCGCCACCTTATACTGTCTCTTACGCAATACCTTCGTAACAGACCAATTCCCTCCCTCCCTCCCTCACCTCCCTAGGCCCTGATGGGGACGAGATGGCTAAGGACGAGGCGTTTCCATCCCTGCCCTTGGCAATTCAGACAGCCCAGAGCGGTATATATCGCGTGTCCGGACTGGAACTCTCTGCCAAAGTGTTTTCATCAATAACCCTCGACCAATTGAAAATATTCTGCTTCAAAAACTTTTAGTCTCTGGCAGGAGGGCGTCGACGAGACCTCCCTGATAAACACATCTGGCAAACATCACTTGTCAAAACTCTCTCACTGTACACTTTTTAAAACACTTTCATTCACTCATGCACTTACAAAGACAATAATAAAATAAAAAAGTATGTCCTCATGCCTCGATGCAACTACAGAAACACTAATATGTTTCCTCTTAGCAAATTCCCTTCGAGTAATAGCTTCAAGGAACACCGTATAGCCTTTGATGTCTTTGAGAGACTCGTAATATTATTAATATTCTTTTTTCTGTTTATTTATAAAGTCGACCAGAGGAATATTCAGAATATTTGATGTTTATTCAGTAGTGATGTAATGCTGTGTAAACATTGGGGGAATTTATTTTGTTTTAACTGGTTGGAGATAGGTTAGGTTAGGTTAGGTTAGGTTAGGTTAGGTTGGATGGGTATTGATAGCTTCAAACATAGGTTGGATGGGTATTGATAGCTTCAAACATAGGTTGGATGGATATTGATAGCTTCAAACATTGGTTGGATGGATATTGATAGCTTCAAACATAGGTTGGATGGATATTGATAGCTTCAAACATTGGTTGGATGGATATTGATAGCTTCAAACACAGGTTGGATGGATATTGATAGCTTCAAACATAGGTTGGATGGATATTGATAGCTTCAAACATAGGTTGGATGGATATTGACAGCTTCAAACATAGGTTGGATGGATATTGATAGCTTCAAACATAGGTTGGATGGATATTGATAGCTTCAAACATAGGTTTGATGGATATTGATAGCTTCAAACATAGATTGGATGGATATTGATAGCTTCAAACATAGGTTGGATGGATATTGATAGCTTCAAACATAGGTTGGATGGATATATTAGCAATAGGGGTTGGGTGTAAATGAGACTGCCAAGTATGGACCAATAGGCCCGCTGCAGTTTCCTCCATTCTTATGTTAAGTATTATTATTATTGGTAGTAGTAGTAGTGGTAGTATTTTTGTTGCAATTATTCTTATTTATTTCGTTAAAAAACTTTCCCTGGTATAAGAGGGACTCAAGTCTTCAAGGAGAGAATATTGGATACATTAATGTGTCATGCTTCCTGAGGACCAACATTGTCTCACATCTCTTGAGAATGAGTCTTCGATGACAAGCCTCACCTCTGAGAGTGGATCATTTTATGCCTCTACGACGAAAGAACTGAACTTAGGACATTCCGAGCCTTCTTAGCCTCCCCCCCCTCCCCAGTACCTTCCTGCTAACTAAGCCTCGAGTAAACTTGAGATGTACAGGGTGATCAAAAAAGAATTGTTATATATTAAAATCGGGTACTCTTTTTTGGTGACCCTGTATTTAAACAAGTCAAGGAATGATGTTATTGGTTGTGTTTTTAGCCTTATAAGTGATGTGATTTAAGTATTTAACCCTTTGAGTACGAGGATTTAACCCCTTGAGTACGAAGATTTAACCCCTTGAGTACGAAGATTTAACCCATTGAGTACTAAGACTTAATCCTTTGATAGAAATGAGAAGAGAGAGATATTCGGAAACGTAGAAAGAGATAATGAGAGAGAGAGAGAGAGAGAGAGAGAGAGAGAGAGAGAGAGAGGAGAGTGGTGGAAGAGTTAAAGATGATAGCACCTTTCCCTAGGCTCGGGCTATGAATGGGTTAAGGTGGGCGGGTGGTGGCGCTACGCCCCTCTGAGCCCCGGCACAATAACACCGCCTTAGTCACTCACTCACTTGTTGATCATCTTAGTCTATATTATTTTATTTTTCATTATTTTATTGATTTTATTGATTTTATGTATTTTTATTTTTTATTTTTTATTTTTTTATTTGTCAATTAAAGAAAGAGTTATTATTGTTCTCTTTTTTTCTCTCTGTCTTTCTCTCTGTCTGTTTGTATGTCTGTCTGTGTCTTTCTCTGTCTCATTGTCTCTATCTTTCACTGTCTCTCTATCAATCTACAGTATATCTTTATATTCTCTCTCTCTCTCTCTCTTTCGTCCAGTAGAGGTGCTTTACCTTCAACAAATAACACTTCTAATTGCAAATATGTACGGCATATAACAATAATAATAATAATAATAATAATAATAATAATCAAATGTCTACACCACCACCACCAACAACAACAACAACAACAACAATTCCAATCTTAAAACAAACAAAAATATCTAAACTTGAAACATATTTCCATTAATTTATTCACAAAACAAAAAATATTCCTCCCACATCAACAGGCTATTTTTTCCACCTTTTGATGGTCAAAATTAAACCTATGACTCCCGCCCCTCACATAGACACGTAATTAGGAATCCTTATTTTCTTTACTAAGTCTCTCACGTGTTTACCTGTGTGTGCTGAGTGTGTTTGCTGTAGGGGTAATTAGTGAGGTAGAGAGAGAGAGAGAGAGAGAGAGAGAGAGAGAGAGAGAGAGAGAATAAAAATGCTATATTTCTTTTAATTTTTCATATAAAGTAAAAATTCACATTAACACTCAAAAAAAGTTTCATATAACATTAAAAATAAAAAGATATTTTTTTTATGCATGGAAAATCAATAGAAAATTTTACTTCAGGTGGATAATTTGGTAGCTGTCAATAACCTTTCGTTCAGTTATCCCTCCCAACCTCTCACTACCTCTCACTCCCTCTCACTCCCTCTCACTCCCTCTCCCACCTCTCACATCGGTAAACACACCTATCAACTCTCCCTCACTGTAAGAAAAGTCTGTGATATTTTTTCTTAACCCAAAACCGATCTGCAAAATATAGTGCCTGTAACATGTCGTATAGTGGCACCATCAGTTTACTTGTGGCACCGTTAGTATACTTGTAAGTGGCACTGTGAACCATGTCTCCTCAGTAGTGCCATAATAATGTTATTTATTACGGTTTATCCACTGGGCGCTCTCTCTCTCTCTCTCTCTCTCTCTCTCTCTCTCTCTCTCTCTCTCTCTCATTGCCCTGTCTCCTTAACTAATACATCTTCACTACACATCCCACACCTACGCGAGTCCGTATATACAGTATAGTAGAATTCCTTACAATAAACATCTGATATAATAACTTTGAAAATTGAATATTTGTGTTACAACTTATTTACACAACTTCTGTAATTTTTAAAAAGTAAAAATAGTCAAACGCTCAAACTTAGTCTTACGATAACATAAATTTTCACGTAATTTGCATATATATGTTTAGATAAATTATTCCCCCCCCCCAAAAAAAAAGAAAAACAAAAATCAAGTAGATATTTTTTATCTCACAATCATATAACTTTTGTTTTTAATAATAAATTTGAAAGAAAAAACAAAACTCAAAGACAAGTTTTTCTTCAGCTTAAAAAAAACACTAAAGGAGACATTTTCTTCATTTGTTTTTAACTAGAGGACAAAACAACTTTGTCTCTACAGTTTTAGTTGTCTGATTATTATCTACCTATTCTAGACTATTTCTTCATCATAAGTTCTTAATAATGGGTTCTCACCGGATGCTCAAGAGGAGGAAAGTTCTCTCGTTAGTGTGAGAGATGAGGGTTAGGGAGTAAAGAGATGTTGTGAGAGACAGAGACAGGGAGAGCTGTATGGGGGCGGGAGAGACGAAGAGATATGAGAGAGAAATGGGAATTGTTGAGAGATTGTGGTAGTGAGTGAATTGATGATGATGGTGGTAATGATGATGATGATGATGATGATGATGATGATGGTGGTAATGATGATGATGATGATGGTGGTGGTAATGATGATGATGATGACGATGATGATGGTGGTAATGATGATGATGATGATGATGATGGTGGAGTAGGAATAATAATAATAATAATAATAATAATACAACTCACTGTATCATTATTATACTGTAATGCACAACCTTATATATTTCATTACAATTCAACTCATGAAATCTCTGTTATTCATAAGTCTGCATCACTGTATTTATGTCTGTACCCCTTCAACTACAGAACAAAGGTGGTGTTTTTGCCTGTATCTCTTCCCTGTATGTCACTGTATTCCTGTATTTCATAATATCATTCACAAAACACCTCAACTAATTTATATTCATATTACAGACTTACTCTACTGTTTATTCACATATTACTGTATTGCCTTGTATTATAACCTGTAACTCACTGTAACTCTTATGTATTCTGTTTCAATGTATTACTGTACCCACACACACACACACACACACATAACTGTACTTACATCACTCCAACACACTACCATATTCACTGTATCTTATTCTCCTCCCTCTGTAATATGTAACCACTGTAACTGATACCCACTGTTCTCTACATTACAGACTGAAGCTGGTGTTTGCCTGTATGATGGAGCTCTCAAAGTTTCCTCTGGACTCTCAAGTGTGTACCATGGAAATAGCCAGTTGTAAGTCTATCCCATCTCTATAACTATTTTGCTCTGAGTGTGTGTTTAGAAATATAAGTTTTAATTGTGTGGAGGTTTAAGTATAAGTTGCTGGTTTAAGGTTGAGTTACAGGTTTAAAGATGAATTACAGGTTTAAGGATGAGTTACAGGTTTTAAGTATAAGTTAGAGGTTTAAGTGTGAAGTAGAAGTTTGGATATAAAGTATAGGTTTAACTATACAATGCTGGTTTATGTGTTAGTTACAGGTAGGATAAAGGACATCACTTAATAATAATTCAAAGATAAAAAATAAAAAAAATTAAAATTAAAAAACGAAGAAAAAAATAGACAAAAATAATCACAAGATAATTGGTTCGTCCTTTTCAATATTTCCCTTCATAAACTCTTGTCACCTTGTTAGATAATTAGATCATTAGCGTGAGTAATTTCTAGTTCAATTAGGCCAATTTATTGACCATATATTTTCCTTCATTTTCCTTGATGTATGAAAATTTACGTGCTCTCTCTCTCTCTCTCTCTCTCTCTCTCTCTCTCTCTCTCTCTCTCTCTCTCCACGTAAGGGAAAATAAAACGCCTCATTTCTCTCTTTCCCATAAAAATACTTACCTGTCTATCGTTTTTTTCTCTCACGACTCAACGTTCATTAACACCTGTAACAACGGTGTTCCGACTCCCCACCACCAAGAAAATTGTCCTGTAACTCGTTTTACTCCGACAATGACGTGACAACCAATTTTTTTATTTTTTTTATTTATTTTTAGCTTCAATTAGTAAACTCACTAATTAAAGCTTAAAACTTCAACCATAAACGTGAGAATGGTGTTGGGTTTATTTTTCACGGATGGTTATATAAGGTTACGAGTGTTTAATTCATTGGTAGGAAGAGAGAGAGAGAGAGGTAAATAAAACACACTCACGCACACTTTCTCCACATTACAGTTTCCAAGACGATGAAGGAGCTGAAACTCTCGTGGAAGAGTGACGCGCCCATCAAGATGTATAAGAACATGAGGATGCCACAGTTTGAGATGGAGAAGATTGTCCCCACCACCTGCCAGGAGTCCTTCCAGATAGGTAAGTCTCACCTCTCTCTCTCTCTCTCTCTCTCTCTCTCTCTCTCTCTCTCTCTCTCTCTCTCTCTCTCTCTCTCTCTCTCTCTCTCTCTCCTTCCTTTTTCCTTTTTCCCTCCCTCCCTCCCTCCCTTCCTTCCTCCCTCCCTCTCTCCACCTCCAACACGACACCATCACCAACACGACACCAGACGACGAGGGTGTAATTTTATGCCTTTCAAGATAGGTAAGTCGTTTTACTTGAGAGGTATACAAGACGATGATGAAGACGACAACGACGATGAAGAAGGAGGAGAAGAAGAAGAAGTGGAAGGAGGAGGAGGATAGTTTAGGTGTTTTAAAATGGATAAGTCGTTTTTCCATCTCCTTAAGCCACGACAACGAGAGTACCAACACGACAGAGGGAGAGGAACACGTGATATACTAGAGCCTCGCCCAGAGAGGAAAACCATTTCTAACATGTCAAAACCACGACGAAATGGGAGGCAGTTTAAATCCTATCAAAGGGAGACTCCGTTTACTCCCCCTCACTGCTATGATAGTGAGGGGGAGGAGGAGGACTTAGGGTCACCTTAAGGGGGAGGGAAGGAGGGGGTAAGGGAGAGGAGTAGGTAGAAGAAGGTTTTAGGGGGGACATCAAAAGCGTCTCAGAAGGTGTTGTGGGAGGGTAAAACGTCAGGGAAAAGTCGAGGAGGACCGTTTACACTTATCACACCTCGAGAACGACTCTTGAGACCTCCGTGGAACCTGGTGGAGACGTGTCGGGTTGATTTAGGAAGTGTTGAGGACGTGTTAGGTTTTTTCAGGACGTGTTGATAACGTGTTCGGTTGATTCAGGACGTGATGGGGGGAGAGGATGGACGTGCTGTGTTGGGTGGAGACGTGTCAAACTGTTATGGAATGTTTTGTAGATGTACTAATTTGATTCAGGGTATTTGGGTGCGTGTTAGGCTGTTTCAGGACGTGGTAGATTGCTGCAGGACGTGTTGCGGACGTGGTAGATTGCTTCAGGACGTGTTGCGGACGTATCAGGCTGTTTCAGGGAGTCCCTCTCAAAACTCGTTGGGATGTGTCAGAACGTATGAAGCCGCGGCAGATTACGTCAATTTGTATGTCGCGTCGCGTCGCATTGCCCGCCAGCCTGTGTTAAGTGTCGGCCATTCAGAGGGTCGACTGAGCGTAAAATGGTGTTTGGTTTGGGCTGGTGGTCAAGTGGCCGTGAACGCGTTGCTGAGCTGGAGGTAGTGTGTGTGTGTACGTATGAACACAATGTATATTCTCAACTGTTCAATTTTATGTGGACAATGTTATACAGCGTACACACACACACACACTTCTAATCACGAGCCTTATTTTCACTCCAGCTAGATATACAAGAGAGGTTCTCATCTTAACACCAAGACTTAAGTGTTAGTTCAATATTATCCTGATCTAAGAATATCCCTCTATCCTAATCCTATCCTGAGTCTATTATTTGCCTCCGTTTATCTCAAGAGCGAAAACTTATCCTACGAATCTCTGAGAATCTATCCTTGACTTTTAGATAATAGGAGTCAATTACATTCACAGGTGTACGATGATTTTTTTTGGGCGTGAGGTACATACAGGTGGGCGGTGGTGGTGGTGGTGGTGTGTGTGTGTTTCTCAGGTAATTACTTTCTTCACTGATAGGTTTCTCGGGGCGGTGAACACAGGTGTGATGAGGAGTGACGTGAGGCAGGTAAGATGACTCTGACACCTTCTAATTAGTTGTGGGTGTGGGTCGGTGTGTGGGTGGATGTGGGTGTGGGTGGATGTGGGTGTGTGTGGGTGGGTGTGGATGTGGATGTGGGTGTGTGGGGGGGGTGTGTGTGGATGTGGGTGTGTATGTGGGCGGGTGTATTGGGGGAGATCCGTTACTGTGAACCGTAGTTGGATTATCCTTTTAAGTATTTCTTCGTCTTCTTTTTAATTTTTCTTTCTTCTTTTCGTTCTTTTTAATCTTTTCTTTTTTTTCCTTCCCTTCTCTTTCTTCTTCTTCTTCTTCTTCATTTTATTCTTCTTCTTCTTCATTTTATTCATCATTTTTCTTTATTCTTCTTCCATTCTGTTTGTCATTTATCCAATATCTTCTTGTTTCCTCCCTTTCTCATTCTTCATTGTGGCCTCAGAATTTTATCCAAACAGTTTTGTCAGAAGTTTTGTCCAATGAGTTTTGTCTGGGTGAAATTTTTGTTCGATGAATGAATTTTTCAGTAGGAGTTTTATCCGAAGGGTGTTTTGTCCAGTGAAGCATAATTTAGTCCGAATCAATTTTGTCCAATCCAGCCCCATATCCGCCTCACTGAAAAGATCCTTTACAGCGCCTCACACACACTCCATTAGTGCCACCGTCTGGCCCTCCCCTTAAATATATGGTTCACTTGGTCATGTCCCCTATTGTCTGGCCAACCTCTTGCACAGATTTTAAGGCTCTCTCTCTCTCTCTCTCTCTCTCTCTCTCTCTCTCTCTCTCTCTCTCTCTCTCTCTCTCTCTCTCTAGTAAGGAATTAAAGCATTGTTTTAATGTATACAATCTAATCACCTTTACCTGTAATACACCTTTGCTTAATGTCCTAATTACACATTTCACCTGTGTCCTAATGTAACTTTGGAACCCCTTGTGTCTTTAACTGACCTTTGCGGCTTTACCTATCTGTGTCGCACCTTTGTTTTGACTTCACCTATTCCTAACCTAACCTAACCAAACCTAACCAATCACCTTTGCTTCACTCTTATTACCTGGCCATCAGTAATATGGGTTTACAAGCGCCATTTTTTTTTTAATTCGTTCCTGGCCATGATAAATCGGGAAGAGCCTCGTTAATTGGGGCTAATAGTGGCTAATGATGGTTGTTGTGAGTATGGGGGGGGGGGGGGTAATTAGTGAACTGGTAAGGATATTTTGTCATTAGTGAGTGAGAGACAGACAGACAGACAGACAGACAGTAGGAAGGAGAGAAAGAAACGAACAAATTGACACATAGACAGACAGACAGACGGGCAGGATCGAACAGACAGACAGACAGACAGACAGGATCGAACAGACAGACAGACAGACAGACAGACAGACAGACAGACAGACAGACAGACAGACGGTAGGAAGGAGGAGAAGAGGAAACAGACAAATTGAACACGCCGGAGCAGACAGACAGACGAACAGGATCGAACAGACAGACAGACAGACAGACGGGATCAGACAGACAGACAGACAGACAGACAGACAGACAGACAGACAGACAGACAGACAGACGGTAGGAAGGAGGGAAGAGAAACGAACAGAATTGACACATAGACAGACAGACAGACGAACGGATCAGACGAAGACAGACAGACAGACGAAGACAGGATCAGACAGACAGACAGACAGACAGAAGACAGACAGACAGACGAACGAACGGAGCAGTAGGAAGAGGAGGGAGAAGAAAACGAACAAATTGACACATATGAACAGACAGACGAACGGGCAGAGATCAGACAGACAGACGAACGAAGACGAACCCAGGATCAGACAGACAGACAGACAGACAGACGAACAGACAGACGAACAGACAGACAGTAGGAAGGAGGGAGAAGAGAAACAGACAAATTGACACACAGACAGACAGACAGGATCAGACAGACAGACAGACAGATAGACAGGATCAGACAGACAGACAGACAGACAGACAGAAAAACAAATGAATAGTGAGTGGAGGGAGAGAGACAGACAGACAGACAGACAGACACACCAAGAAACCATCACTAAAGAAAAACAAACACATACAGAAAACGAGTAAATACTAATAAACTGAAGAATAAAAAAAAATAATAACTAGTGTAAATAATAAAACAAATTAACGAACATGAAAAAAACAAAGTGATAACAATGAATAATGTAGAATAGGGATGATTGAACGAAAACAGTGTAGAAAGTGGACAAGATAAACGGAGGAATTAGGAATTATGGTTAAATTTTATGACGTTGGTTTTGTGTGTGTGTGTGTGTGTGTGTGTGTGTGTGTGTGTGTGTGTGTGTGTGTTTATTTGACAGTGGTTTAGTGAGCAACAGGCAGATGGCGTTGTCCAAACTTTGTAATATATGAGAGAGATTTATTTTTAAACTAGAGCAATAAAATGTCGACACACACACACACACTCTCTCTCTCTCTCTCTCTCTCTCTCTCTCTCTCACAGCGGCAGGACAGTCAACACAACGAGACCACTGACTGGTACATGTTCAATAACAAGACTAAAACACTCACCCCAAATTATCTATCTGGAATATCATGAAATTGGCTTGTCTGTCTGTCTGTCTGTCTGTTTGTCTGTCTGTCTGTTTGTCTGTCTGTGTCTCTGTCTGTCTGTCTGACTGAAGTTGAGACGTAGCGTATGTAATGAGATAATCTTAATTAACCAGCAGTATTGAAAGCAGTATTGGTAGTAGTGTTGGCAGCAGTGTTGACAGCAGTGTTGGCAGCAGTGTTGGTAGTAGTGTTGGCAGAAAAGGTAAGGCAGTGTTGGTAGAAAAGGGCAGTAGTGCTGACAGTGTTGGCGTGTTGCAGTAGTGTTGGCAGCAGTGTTGGCAGCAGTGTTGGCAGCAGTGTTGGCAGCAGTGTTGGCAGCAGTGTTGGTAGTAGTGTTGGCAGCAGTGTTGGCAGCAGTGTTGGCAGCAGTGTTGGTAGGTATGCTTGAAGTAATTATAATAAAAGAGTGAAATGCTGGCAAGTAAGGGAAAGGTTGGCAGGTGAGGGAAAGGTTGGCAGGTGAGGGAAAGGTTGGCAGGTGAGGGAAAGGTTGGCAGGTGAGGGAAAGGTTGGCAGGTGAGGGAAAGGTTGGCAGGAGCAGAAAGAAAGGTGAAAAACCGACAGACAACGACACAGAGAGAGAGAGAGAGAGAGAGAGAGAGAGAGAGAGGAGCCTCTCTCTCTCTCTCTCTCCTCCTTCCAGGCCATGTTGGTTCACCTGGCCAAACATAGAGATGGCCAAATGGTCAGGCTGCTCCTT